TCATCATTTGACATATGTTTTGCCTTTATTATAACTTTTTTGGGTGTGGCTGAATATCGCTTATAGTGGTTCACTATTTGAGGATTGCATGAGTGTTCTTTCGTGAGTTTATAAAGCTTCCTTTTTCTTTCACACGAGATTTTAATCCCCTTTGTTATCCATGCTTTGCTGTTTGGTGTGTTGTTTATTTTGTGATACTGTAGTGGATGTGAGATGTTGAAATAGTGTTTGATTGTATTGAAGAAAGTGTCAAACTTGAGGTTGATGGCAGATATTTCATATACCCCTGACCATGATTCATTAGTTAACAGTGATATGAGATTGTTCAGTTTTTTTTTCATTATACTTCCTAGTCTCCTTTATTAGTTTTGCTTTTGGTGAGGTGTAATTTATTTTGAGAGTGAGTATTTGAGCATTGTGGTCACTGAGCCCCGTATTTAATGGTGATTGTGTATGTGTTTTGTTTTGTCTAAAAGGATCTGGTCAATTGCTGTTTGGGAGTTCTTTGATTGCCTGGTTGGTGTCTCAACTACTGCATCTAAATTATAGGAGCGTACTAAGTTTATTAGTTTGATTCTGTCTCTTTCACGAGTAGTATTAGCTGTAGGTAGGAAGTTAATGTTTATATTGCCACAGATTATAATAGAGTAATGAGCTCTCTTTGTTAATTTATCCAAGATTAATTCTAAGTTTTTAAGGAATATTTGAAGATTCGCATCTGGTGCTCGATAAATGTTTAGGAAGAAGATGTTCAGCTTTGGAATTTCTACAATTGAACATTCTATGTCTGAGTCGCATGTTATTTGTTTGAATTCATTTACGTGTTTGGATTCACAGTTGTTGGCCAGATATATGCATGTGCCTCCATGTGTGTGATTAATATTGTTGTGTTGGTCCCTACAACAGAAGTAAGCAGCCAAGTAGAAACCTGGTATTTGTGTCATTTTAATTTGATCCTCCGTCAGCCAGAGTTCAGTTATACAGATTGCATCAGTGTGTTTTATGTGATATGTTAGCATGCTTTCTATTTCATGTATTTTGTTTTTTAAAGATAGAATGTTCTGATGTAGGATCTTGAAGGTGCTGTGTTTTGCAGTGGTGACTGGTGTAGAAGTGACTGTTTGCTACAGGTCCAGGTGCTGGACAGGTTTTGAAACAGCACGCAGGTTGTAGGATATGGATCGAGAGGGTTTTGAGGGAGAGTTTTGGGAGATTGGAGGGTTGGCGGCTACGACAGCATAGGTGGGAGTGGGATTCACCGGACTAGGGGCCAAGGCTGAATTAGGATGAGTAGAAGGGGCTGGTGTGGAGGGAGCAGGGGTTGGTGGAGGTGTAGAGTGCAGGAGATGGTGCTAGCAGTGAAGGAGCCTCTAGGTTGTGTGTGGCTAACTTGCATGCTAGTGCGTGTTTGCCAGCTTGTCTCAGATGGAGACCATGCCGGGTGAAGAGAGTCTCTGAGAGAAAGTCTCAGGCTGAGTGTGTATAGTGTATAGTGTGTATTGTGTAATTTGTGTGTCTCTCAGATGCTGTGTAAGTATGCTGTTTGCTTTCTTAATCTTGTTGTTTATAAGGGTGATGTTGTGCCAAGGGGGCAGAGTTGTCATAATTACATTTGTTTTCTGGACAGCCTTTTGAATTTTGTATATCTCAAGTCATTTTCTATTTTTGCATGCACCCCCCCCCCCCTATTAGCACCACCCGGCATTGGAAATAAGGGTTTTATAAGAGCTCTGGAACATGATCAAAAGTTTTCTCAATTTAAATAACATATTGACAATGGCATAACAAGGATTTAGAAATGGCATAGCTACACACACACGCTTACTTCACCTTTCTAAATGACATCATTGTTGGTTTAGATTAAATTGAAATCCCCATTGGTTTGTTTCTAGATTTATCGAAAGCATTCAACATTATTGAATTGAATTGAATTAATGCCTTATTTTACATGGCGAGACTCAGGCCATGAGGCCTGCTCTTCCGTCTGACCACGCAAATTTCGCTACGCTCCTTTCACCAACTAGCAGAGAAAGGAGGTATTTCTTGGGCGTGAAACAGGCGATTTGAATTTAGCTCAGAGGCGTCATTTAGGCTTGAGGATCTTTTACATGCAAGTAAATCTACGAACATGGGAGAGCCGGCTTTACTTCCCCTCCGAAGGATTTTTGACCGTCACATACTGTTAGCAAAACTTGACAATCTGGGAATTTAAAAAGCATTTTACAAACTGTCTCCCTAAACTACAGGAACCCACTCTGGAGTAACGTCACCAGCAAAATTGGTCATAAAATCATGCCTGTAATAAAGCCCAAAAAACAACTTTCCTTGGATTTACTATTCAAAATTATCTAAAATGGAACTCACATCACATATCTAAACAAGCTTACCAAATCATTTTACGCAATCTTTATCTTTAGGTCAAATTCTAATTTAGATTCACTATGGACAGTGTACTTTTCAAAATGTTCATTCACATCTAAAATACAAAATCATATTCTGGGGAAATTCTCCAGAAATTATGAACACTCTCATAATCAAAAAACCAATGAGAACAATGACAAACACTCACAAGTATGAATCTATCACTCCCAAGTGGGTTCATATTTGAAATAGTAATCTTTACAAAGACTCTTCTCAGGTACAGGGAATCTTTAATAATTTAAATCTGAACTTTATAACTATCATACTACACAAAAAAGAAATCTGCATGTCTCTCATGGTACCCTTAGAGAACGCATTACACTATACAACCAACTCCCTAATAAACTTGAAAGCATACACACATTAGAAATAAATTTAAAACTTTCCTGGTCAACCATACAGTGCAGTACAGAATATGTACATCATAAACATAAACTATTGCCTTTGCACATTCTATTTCATGTTTAAAAATCCTAAATTGATTGTTAGACATTAAAGGGCAGATCCAGCCCAGACACAAGCTCATTTGAACTCAATTTTTTTTCTTCCCCCTTTTATTATAGTTTTTCATTTTAATTTTCTTACACTACCACTTATTAAATTAATTCGAAATTTATTGTATTATATTATTTTCCATTGCAAATTAAACAAAAATTTTCTTTATTATGCTTAGTACCAAATTTGAATTTCAGTATTGTATTTAGTTTTGAAATACCTGTATTGTACATTGTATGATTATGTACATATCCTGACTTACGCTGTACTTATGTGACATATATTATTATTACTAATCTCTAAAATAACTACCTTCATGCACAAGTGATTGCTTTTCAATAAATATTTCAACAAAAATAAACAATATCTATTTTAGGGTAGATATTACAATGTGTTATTATTATTAAAAAATGTAATACCTTGATAAAAAAAAAAAGTGAAGATTGACTATGCAATGTCACATTCTAAACATTTTTGATTCATTTGATAATTCACTTTTAGTTTTGATACAAGTTATATTAATATAAAACTAAAGATTAAATATTTAATACATGCAACATAAAACAAGTAATTAAAGAAAAAAGGACAAATAATAATGGCAGGAACAAAGTCAATTAAACTTAGGAGGTATACATGTCCACGAAAAGAGTTTACAGGAGCAATAAAATAGACATCTAATTATTGTTAACAGAATTTATTGATTGTTACTACTACACAACAAATAATACTAGTTATTACTAATAATTTAATTTAATCATTTCTGATATTTACCGGAATGATCATTAGCCTCCAGTTATTTATCATGTAGTTTTTAGGGTAGAGAAACTGTACATTGTAGCAATAGTAATTCAGTAAATTCTTCAACCTCAAAATTTTTACACCAGCAAGACAACAAAAACTATTGGGTTGCTGGTAACTCAGATTTACTAGCCAAATTTTAATATATTTATAGGGTAGGGACGATTCCCTAAATTTCAAATAAGTAGATACATAAACTTTTCAGACAAAATCAGAAGGTTTAAACAATTCACTTTAACTCGGTTATGAACTGTGAAGGAATCTTCCACAATTACCTTCGTCTGAGAATCAGGTCTAATGGAAGAGTTAAGAGCATATGCAATGAAGAATAGTGACAAATATTTGCTAAACAAGATATGGTAATAGTACATGCCAAAAGAATATAACCTTAAATGAAGCCTCCCTAAACATGTGAAAACAGCTGAAATATTTAGGTATATGATCACTTGAATGAAAGTTCAAATCAAGCAATTGTAAACTGCAGCTCTCCTTTGCAGTTTATCAATGTCACACTCAGAATGCAATTCAGAACACTGAAATTTTGAAAGACTAAATAAATTTGTGTACCTACTAATTAAAAGAACCTCATTACTTTTTAGTGCTTTTATTTCAAACCCAATAGTCCATTTTAAATTTCTAAATAGCAGAATTAATAAGCAACAGTTCCAATAAAATAAATTCCCGATTTAAAGCTCAAAAGATTTGCATAAAAAGTGCGACATTAAAACACCTAAAATCTTTTGCTACCAGAAATTGCAAAGTTACTTTGGATTTGTTTTAATTTCATTTACATAAACTAAGTGATATAAATATACCATTACTTGCATATTTTATCAAACTTTGTTTTCCATACAAGTTAATACTCTGCAAAGTCCAGAATATTGATCTCCATACTTTGGTATATTATCAAAATTAATACTATTCTTTTTCATCTTTCAAAATATACAACTTCATAGCACAAAGGAAAAAGGTGAAGCAATTGTCAATGATAATTATTCATATTTTACTAATACATTTCAAAGTTCAAATACAATTTCCGGATACATAACAAATCCCATTCTCCACTTACATTATATACCAAGCTCACAATTTATTTGCAAATCTGATAACCATGGGAGATAAATAGATTATATCTCTCTTCAGCAAAAAGATTTTAGAATTATTAAAAAAATGCACATTTTTATCCAACACACATTTTATTAAGAGCATTACAGATATATATGCACGCAGTTCAGGAGCAAATTCCATAAATTGGAATTAACAGAAAATATAATCAAAATGAATAATTATGGAGAAGTAGAAATGTCCATATCATCAGCATTAGATTCACCAGCTGATCCAGAATTCTGTTTCCCCTCTTTTCCTTCTCCCAAAGGAGATGTATTTTCATTATGATCATTTGATTGATTAGCTTCCCCATCCACATGCTCATCATTTGTATTAGATTCAGATTTATCTTCCTCATTTCGCTCCTGCTCGTTATTATCATATCCATCTCCATTTGCTTCTTCGTCATAATTACGTGATATTTTGGCTGTTGAAACTTTATCTTCTTTGTCATCCTTCTTTTCTTTCCTCTTTTTATCTTCTTTCTCATGCTTCTCCTGATCATGACTTCGCTCTCGTTCCTTCTTCTTATCATCTCTGCGAGACTTTGAGTGACTGGGGGAACGATGAGCAGGAGAATGTCTGTGACTGGATCGAGGAGATTTGCTTCTTCTTCTTGAATGCGAAGAACTCCTACGGCGCGATGGAGAGTGACTCTTCCTTCTTGAATGAGGACTTTTCTTTCGTGTTGGGGATCGTTTCTTACTTGGTGAACGACTCTTACGTCTAGGTGATCTATGACGTGATTTTGAAGGAGACCGTGATGATGATTTTCGAGAACTTTTTGACTTCTCGCGATACTTATCTTTGTCTTTACTTTTACTTTTTTCTACATCTTTATCTTTTTCATCTTTACTTTCTGAATCTTTAATTTCCTTTCCTTCCACTGTTTCTTTCCCATCCTCTGTTTTGGAATCTCCATCTCTTCTATCACTATCTTTTTTTGAATCCTTTTTATCATCCTTCCTTTCTTTTCTGTCATAATTTTTGGAAGATTTTGATTTTGATTTAGAATGAGATGATCTTGATCGTGATCTGGAACGTCGCCTACTTCTAGAGCGAGACCTGCTGTGGGAACGATGGTGCCGTGGAGATCTCGATCTACGTTTTCTATCCCTTGATCTCGATCTATGTTTTGATCTGGAATGTGAACGCCTTCGTGAACGAGATCGGGAATGGCGATTACGTGATCTCCTTCTGGATCTTGATCGAGACCTACGGCTTCTAGAGTGAGATCTTCGTCTCCCGCGTGATAATGATCTGGAACGCCTTGACCGTGATCCACTTCGACTACGTTTTTTCTTGTCATCAGCCAATAAACCAATAACAGGATCTATTGCAGCTGAAATAAGATTCTGGGCTTCCTTAACTCTAGACATTGCTTCCTCGATTTCTTTTTGCACATCTTCACTACTTTTGGCCTGAGGTTTAACAATTGCTTGAGTAGAATGGTACACTTTAATAGTACTGTTACCTAATTCCTTACCATTCATTTGCAAACCACCAATTATTGAAGTTTGATCAGAAAACTCTATAAGGGCATAATGGCCTGGATCATCATCTCTAGAACAAAAACGCAAATATTTGACTTCACCAGCAGAATTAAAGGAATCAATAACTTGTTGGGGAGATAAAGATCTATCCAAATTTACAACGACTAGAGTTCGGCGGATTTCTTCAACTTTCCTTGCATCCAAAGTAGCTGGCAGTGGAGGATACAATGGTAGTCCTTTCTCCACAAGACGAGGATCAGTTGTAATTACCACTTGATTGGGCGGAACGCCTTGCAACTGATTTGTTACATTACGAGGTAACTTTGGGTGTATGGGAAACAGTCCCGGTACCATTGTACCATGGTTAGTCAATTCTAATGCCCGTTGTTCGTCAGGTATTTCACTTTCAAAAGGCACAACAATAATTGCTCGATCAATGAAAACTGTATTTGTCATGTGCAGAGCCACGCCTACACATATTGGATCATGAAATTTAACATAGCAAATACGCGACTGCACTGGTACAGCAACATCTCTCACAGTAGGATACAAACGCATATCTTCCAATTTTCCAAGATAACCAAACAAAGTTTGCATTTGATCTCTTGTCGCTTGTGGAGCGATATTAGTTATTTGTACTACCTTACTTTGAGTCATCTTTACTGTGTTGTAATAACGAAAATTTTCACAAAATGTTAATGAGCTAAGTGAATGACTACACTAGAAAATATAGACTTTTTAAATTAAATGTAATCACTTTCACATTCTAATTATTTCGAGCAATACGTAAATAATACAAGTACATAGTCCGACCTCAGTCAATTTTCGTTACAAACTTAGCACAAACGATCACAACACAACGCACGCAAACAGCACGCACACAACGAACATCTTTGCCGGACGAACTTTCCGACTCTCAGAGAATACATAAAAAGTATCCAGCATTTTTAATATACTAAATTACGCAAGTAAATGCAAGAAAGCAACTTCTTGAGTGACATTTGCAGCGTTTTTATTTAAAAGAGATACTTTTAAAAACTGAACTTTTTAATCGATGTATATTAAATTATTGAAGCTATAAAATATGATCTGTACTTTATGGTAGTGGGGATCTGCACTGCACGACTGTCTCTTGTTCTAGTATTAGAATCACAACTACCAACGTCAGTCAGAATTTGTGCAAAAATATGTTTCGTTTAATTATGGCGAAATAGAATGCACCTTAGAATTAAAACAAGATTGCATATTTTATTTAAAACTTGTTAAGATCTATGTGATTGTTTGGGCATCCGCAAGAGCCGAATTCCAATATCTCTTATAAACGTTTCGTTCCTGTATCAAGGAGTTGCAGGTGTTATACCTGTGCTTGCCCGTGTTCTTGCGCATGCGCTGTAGTGTATAAATGAGTAGGTGGAGTAGGTTGTGTCGTAATATGTTGATATTAAGAATTTAAGGCACATCCTTTCAATTTTTTTAGTGATCATTAAAAGTTCTCCATCATGTCTTCGAGTGCCGAGCCAATTGACAGCAGTATGAAGCCGAAAAGACCATCGGATAGTGCTTTCAAACAACAGCGACTCCCTGCATGGCAACCAATTTTGACAGCTGGTACTGTTCTGCCTACATTCTTTGTGATAGGAATCGCGTTTATACCAGTTGGAATAGGATTATTATACTTTTCTGATGAAGTCAAAGAGAAGGTGATTGAATATACTGATTGTCACAAATTTGCCAATGGGAAAGAAGGACCTGAAAAATGCGCCGATATTATAGAGAACAATCCAAATGAAGAATGTGAATGTCGTATAAATTTTACATTAGAACATGATTTTGAAGGGAAAGTATTTATGTATTATGGCCTCACAAATTTCTATCAGAATCATCGACGATATGTTAAATCTCGTGATGATAAGCAACTTCTTGGTGAGCTTAAGCCCAATGAACCATCCCATGACTGCAATCCCTTTGCCTTCACAGAAGAAACTAATGATACTACCAAAAAACCTATTGCACCTTGTGGTGCTATTGCAAACTCATTATTTAGTGACACTTTAGTGTTACATTCATTTCATAGAGGTGATACTGTTCCGATGTTGAAGAAAGGTATTGCATGGCCATCTGATAAGGAAATCAAATTCCGTAATCCTCCTGGTGATAATTTAACTGAGGTCTTCAAAGACTTTGCAAAACCTCTTAGATGGAAACGACCTGTTTATGAACTTGATCCAAGTGATCCAGATAATAATGGTTTTGAGAATGAAGATTTAATTGTATGGATGCGAACTGCAGCTTTGCCAAACTTTCGTAAACTCTATCGAATTGTTAATCACACAGCAGATGGTTATGCTAATGGTTTGCCAAAAGGAGATTACTGTCTTAATGTCACTTACACATATCAGGTTAATTCTTTTAGAGGTACAAAGTGCATGATCTTGTCTACAACATCCCTCTTGGGTGGAAAAAATCCCTTCCTTGGTATAGCATACATTGTTGTTGGAACTATATGTCTTCTTTTGGGCATTGTATTTTTGTTCATACACATTAAGTGTGGCAAGAGCACTACGGAAATGATAAATGTCAATCCTCGCACTCCTTACCAATAATATTTGTAATTTATGTATTTGCCTTACTAGTGGTGTACAAAGGTTATTTTTGTTCTGTAGGATGAAATTGCATTGCAGCAATTTACATTCCATTCAATGTGAATGTCAGCACTTGAAGCGCTAGTGAATTGTGCAGCGGACAAATCAATACTACTAATTCTTAGTACACAAATAAGAATTATTTTAAGTACATTCATGGAAAGTCTATAAAGTGACTATAGTGGAGATTAATTTTCATTTTATATTGTTTTATCAGTGAATATTTGTAAAAAGGAAGAAAAACAGTTGTTTTGATCTTTAAAACTCCTTTATAATTACATATTTTGTTGCATCTTTAAACAGTGGTTTTGCTTATTCATACTATTTTTCTGAGCCTTTTTGTGGGTTTTGTGAAGATATGTTGCCGTGTTGCTTGTATAGGCAATAAAAAATGCATAAAGCATAGTAAAATGTGTTTAGAATTAGTTAGGTGAAGAGAAACTATTTGGACAGTGTAAAATGAGATTCCTCAATTTTTTCCATTTATATTTCCAAACATAAAAACGTTTTGTTTTTCATATAATTTATTGTATCAATTTCTTTTATCCCAGTATTGTATGATTTGAAAAAAGGTATGAGGACATTGCTTATAAGTCCTGACACCTAAAAGTGTATCCTCTTGTTGGGTACATAAGCACACATTTTTAGTGGTGTGGCCTATGTTGTCTAGTCATTACTCATAATTGATTCTTTGAGTAAAAATTGTTGATCAATTTTCTTTCATACTAAGAATGTCAGAATAATCAGGATTTGGCTATTTATGTTATTATTTACTCATGTTACATTGCACTCTTATTACATTTTTTTATTTGAATTTGTAATGCAATTTTTTTCTTTCTTTCTATGGGTATCTCAGTAAAGAATATTAGATACTGTAATTTATCAGTTCTGTTTATAAGATAATTCTTGATTTCAAGTAACAAGGTAGATTGTAAAAAAAAATATTGAAATTACTTGGATGTTAATGTATAAATATTAATATATTTTGAGTGTGTTAGATCATTTATAATAAATATAACTTCTTAAAGTGACATTTTTTATTTTAAAACATTCTATATCCTTGCTTCCTTGGCCTCTATTTGGTATTTCCACTTGGAATGGTGATATGATTTTAATCAATTAAGAGCAATGTATCTATGACATCTTATCAAGAACCACATAAGATATTGAAAATAATCTCAGTTCTTTTTCTTTAATTTGTTTGGTACATTTACATTTATAACCCCCCCTCAGCTGCAATGTGCATGTGCCCTGCTTTCAGAACGATTGTTACATTTCAAGATTTAGGATTCAAAATGAAAATGAAACCCTGCTCTTCTTTAAATGTTTATTGTGCAGGAGTTATATTAAATGTGTATATAGATAACCTATATGGTCACGAGTATGAAAACATTTTAATTTTATTTTTTAAAATGTATATTCCTTCAGAGCTACGAAGGAGAACGGTTTACTATCAAATATACCACACCATTATAAAATAAACTTAATAAAATTTTAAAAAATCAAAAACAGTCTGAATATACATAATGTACAACACACAAAAATAAATATATAATACTAAGACAATACAACATACCTTACTGCATTTCAAAGAACTTGTGTCACATAAGGATTTATGTGATGACATGTTAGCAGATTGAATTTTTGCCTCTTGTCAATCCACAAACATGTTGTCAGAGCACATTCCCCATTTTCTAAAGCATTTTCTAACACTATTCTAGCAAGAACTATAAATAATAGAACAATTTGGAGCCACTTCTATGAAAATTTTGAAAATGTCTCGAGCGTTTCAAGCAAGTACGCTTAAACTTTAAAAACTTATTTCCAAAATCACAAGGCTTTGATTTAGGCCAGATCAATTGGAGAATATTCATTTTGGAAAAATTCCTATGAGTGGTTTAGGTATTAGTGTTGTCCACATTTGAACGGATGAACAAATGTTTTGAAATAAAACAATTTTTTTGTACCAGAGGACTCCAAAATGTACATATTTGTTAAATTTTTTTAAATTATTTTCTGTTGCGTTGTATTATTTCTCTGTTCTACATATATTACTCATTGTATGAAAAAGTAAAATTAAACAAATTATTTATTTTAGCAATTAAAGATAAAGCCCATTTGCATTCAACAAAGTTACTAATGACTCTGAGAGATACATTGCAGGCACTTGTGAGCTCTTCTGGGTCAATTAAATGTCATTATTTGTTTTCTTTCCGTAATATATTTTATTGTTTGGTTCCATTGGGCTGTAGCTTGTTGCCAAACTGCCAGCTTGTTACATATCTAGGTACATAGAGGTTGTTTTTTTATTCTTTAAATTTTTGTAAAAAATTTCTTTTTTCTTTTTCTGTTCTATATTACCTCAATATTTCAATAATAAATCTTACAAAAATTGATGCTGAAGAAAAATAGGAGCAGAAAGGAGCAGGATAATCTTCAATAATTATTACAAATACCTCAAAAATACAATAATATATATTATCAACACACTTATGTACAAAGGTTTAAAAAGCATTCACTTCCTGTCAAAATGGAATTCCATTTAGTAATTAACGAGTATATAATTAGCCTAGTATTGACAAAGTAAGCAATCATTAGGTTCTGATAGCTCACAACTTAAGGAAGTTCATTTGTTACCCTCACTGGATCATTAAAAAGGACCATATAAGATATGTTGCTGGGAGTGAAACTTGTGATAGGTGTTTCACTCTCACTTTAGAAAACATCATGCACCTGAGAAATTTTCTTGTAAAATTTCTACCAGGTGACACTTCCTGAGCTTGGTCCATTATCACAATACATAATTTAGGTTATCATGATCTCAAAAATAGAATTCAAATTGTTGAAAATAATTGTAATTTTAATTAAGAGACATTGATTAAAAAAGATTGTGAAAATGTTTTATATTCTATCTCTACAATTACAATTTTAGCTATATGTGGTCAGTTCTTCAGTCTCCATGACATACTGGAGAATGTTACATCATTATTTTTGGCATAAGGCAACATTGTGTCTAAATAAATAATCATGAAACTATTACAATGTTGGTTAAAGATGCGAATAAAATTAACGAAAAAATAAATTGCTTTGAAAATCGCAATTAAGTATGAATTCATGATATTTCCTCTGCTTCTTTAGTAACAAGAAATTTTCAGATCCCGTTCTGTTAAAGTTTGGCATTTTCTGCATGTAAGTATCAAACTACAGTCACTTCAAGCTACAGTCTTGTAATTGTTATGTTTATTATGAATAGCACCAAACTATAACTCAATATCAGGTGATGGTAACTGATTTTTGAGTTTCTGACGAGAGGCATGGTCCATAATCACAGATATTTGTGCTGGCATCAGTGCTGCACTTAATGGCAATTAAAAATATAAAGTTACATTTTTCTTGACATTAATACCTGTCTACAGCAATATTAATCATCATTTGCGCAGTTTTCAAATGTTTTTTTGAGTATTTACTAACAAAAGCATAGGCAATTTTAGGCATTAGCATCTGCAGAAAACAATGCAATGATAAAAAACTTAAATCTGCAGTGATTAAAATTAATCACAAGACAGTGACTCCGATTCATTAAATTCACACAATATACAAATAATACTACTACTAATAATAATTATTATAATAATAATAATTTTAATAAATATTACCATATAATACAACAGATTGTTCTTTCTTGCCTCTTCAAGATCAAATTTCTCAAGTAAAATTCTGTCCACACACATCACTGTCACAGACATTTCATGCATTATTTAGTTTATATAAATTGACCAAATGCAAGTCACAGGTAAAACATTGCAATTCCAAATAACATAAACACTACTCAATCAATTGCTACAATGTTATGGCACTTTTCGTACAAACGATGTTAGCTGAGGCGTCGAAGGAGAATGTAGGTTTGGTGATTGAGATATAGCAGGAGAACACGAAAGAGTAATACAACTGCCTGACGGCAGCTCGCTTTGTCACACAGATGTCTGAGTAATCCCTGCAGATATCCAGTTCCTCTGGTTAAATTTTTTCATCTCGGCACTTTCAAACTCTGAGTCATCAATGTCACAAAGATTAGTTGATAGATCACTATTACTTGTACACCCCCCAAGGAGGGATGCCCTCTCTCCGAGTACTGTAATCACTGAACCATCTTCATCTTCTCCTTTACGACGTCGTCTACGGCTGGGAAAACCATAAGGCACCACTTCCTCATCATCAGAGTCATCCAAATTATTGTGGCTGCTAAGAGGTTCCGTCTCATTTTCACTGTTAATATTATAGGGAGGCAAATATTGATTAGGATGCCTGAGATAACTACTGGCAGTATTAAAATGATATTCTTCTCCACCACTGTCCAGCACATTACTACTTTGAAGGTTGGGACTGTCAGGTCCATAATGACTTCCACCAAACTCTGTTCCACATTCTGAATCCCCAACATACTCAGACTCTTGATCTTCATTGAGAGTTTCAATATCTCGTACTGGATCAACAGGTCCAAGTACTGTGGGAAGGAAACAAAAAGGATAGAAAGATAAAAATTATGTGATATGAACCATTCAATACAATTAAATTTTAAGTGGTACCTATTTGATTAGATGCACAATACTTATGTGCTTTTCGTAAAGAGAATGTAAATGATTACCTGGAGGAAGCGACATGTTGCCCTGATGTGTATTTGATTCATTACTTTCATTACTATGGAAACTTGAAGAATCAGGTACTTCACTGCCAGGGACCTCAGTAATATTTGGAAGGGGGTTTTGGCTGCGGTTCACCCAGTCAGAACAGTCCCAGTGATAGCCTAAAATGAATATGAAATTAATAGTAAACATACAGACACTAGCATCAACTTAAAACAAAGTGATTGTTTTCTTTTCAAATTTGAAGAAGAATCTGAAACACACTCCAGAAAGAGAAGATACCGATGTTTTCTCCATGGATTTCTTAAAGATACCTGCAAGTATTCCTGCAAATTGTTCTTAGTAGTCTGATATGTACAAATATGTACATGTTTAATTTAAAGTAGAATAATCAAATGAACACAATATTAATCGTAATAAGAACTTGTGTATTGCTTCTGATAGTACTTACAATAAAATACAAGCTGTAACAAAATTTTAAAATGAGCAATATATCAATTTCAATGTTCCTCTGACAAACATACATTCTCACCAACAGGTTCTATCCACCAATGGGTCTGTAAATAAATGGCAAACAAAACATGTATTTCTTGACCATATTCCTTGTAGCTTCGTAATAAAGATAAATGCTCCTCTATTGGATCACGTCCCTATAATAGTCAAGCCTTAAAAAATAGTAAAGGGCAGTCAGTATGCATTTAGTAGTTCATCACTAATATGTTAAATAATGTCAAGTGGTCTGTACATTGTGATTATTTTTCAGCTATGGTAAAGAATTTCTTTAGATAGTTATTATTTTGTTTTTTAAGTCTTAATCAACAGTTATGGGTATTTGAAACTTTCTAAATGTATGATAAATATCAAATTTTTGTTAACAAAATTTTAAATACAACTTAATGAAAGGATTAGTTGTTCTGGGGCTGATAGAACAGTGGCTTATGAAAGTATTGACTGCTCCTACTTTAGTCTGGGATGAACTTTTGTAATTAGTGAAATATAAGGGATTTTAATAACATAAACTTTTACTGCGTTTACAATCAACAGTTCTGTATTCAAACAACAAATGTAAAGAATTTGGAGCCATTTTCAAGAACATTTTGAAAACATAGTATGAGTTTCATATAAATAACATCTTCAAATTAAAAGATTTCTTTAAAATTCATAGGGTCTCAAGATAAACTAGATCAAAAAGAGTTTAATAATTTGGGAACAAATCCTGGGTACAGTTTCGGTGCTAGTGTTGTTCACAGATGGACAGGTAGGCAGGCAGGCAACTATGTGGGGAGCTGGCTCAACTTCGGAGACCCATTGTAGGTGCACAAGACAAAACATGTATGTCCATGAAAAATACCATACGAGGCTCTTATGCTTTTCTTTTTTTTCAAAAGGTACTTTAAACATCCCCATTTACTTATTTAATATCAAAACTGTGTGATGTATGGGGGAAAAGGGCAATCTTTGCTTGTTTTCTTTAATTCTGGAATCCTGACCGTCACTCTAATACACTATAATCTGTCTAAACTGGAACCTGTAAAAGCTGGAAACTTGCTCTGGCGTTAAGTTAAATGGTATTTTACACAGCATAAAATGGAACCTCTCCAACGCAGAAATGGAACGGTTTTCCATATCTTGCAGGAGAAAAAAATCTTTACAAACAGAATTCATATGAATTTAATGCAATTAACAGAGAGACACAAAATGCTCTTAATGAAACGAATGCATCTGCAAGCTTGTTTTATATTCTCTATCCCCGAGAAAAATGATTTAGTAGATGGCAGCTGGACATTGAAGGACAAGGGTTTCTGCGGTCAGTGTAGAATTCAACCTTGGGGTTGCTTGCCTCTTAAGGCATAGGTCATAAGGGAATTCCCGTTGGGAATTCTGTCCCGACTCTCTGAGTATGGGAAGGTGTACTGTCATTACTTCTGTTCGTGTGTCTACCTACCCCATGTTGAAAATCATAACCCTTTGATGATATACATATTGCTCAGGGCTGTGCGAGGGTATCAGAAAGTCATAGTACTGGATTGTGCCGCATTGTGCATTGAAAGTCAGCAAGCTGTCCGAATACAGCTAGTAAGGTGTGTATTTTTCAACTCGGAAGCTGTCAATGAAGAGAGATTAATATTTGTTTGTTGGTGATGTCTTCCATAAATACATTATAGTTAATGTATTTTGATAATTATAATAAAGTCTTGTAATTTACTACTCAGGGCAGAAACGTCAATATCACAAGTATCATAAAATGAACAATCTTGCATAAAATGGAAACCTTCCTAAATAGGAATTTTTGGGGTCCCGATTGATCCAGCTTAGACAGATTTCACTGTACTATATTAAGTTGAATTATGAATACTAGTAGAAATAAGAGTTTCTGTAAAAATTTGATAACAAAAAATATTCACAAAGCTGTAATAAAAACTATTTGCAGCAGCAAATGAGCTACAGATTGGCTCATTCCTTATCGTATCCCATGAGGAGGAATTGACTTACTACCACAAGAGCATGGAAAATAATTATTGATGGTCATGTTCATAAAATAACTGGATCCTCACTAATATCCAAAGAGCTCCAGAAAACATATGCATATTGTGAAGCTACATTTTTGTCCAGAAGCAAAGTCAATGGGGTTCCCATGTCAGAATTTACTCATGGATCAAGAGTAACTAGTCGAAAAACTTGGTCAAGATGAGGGCCATTGACCCACAAGCTGAAGAACAATACTTGTTTTCCAGGCATATTTAATCTTTTAGAAATGTACAGTACAAATAGTAACTACATTTTCTGCCTTGTGAAGCATTAAATACAGAGTAACATATGAAATATGAAATACAGTGTAACACCATAGGATATTACAACTTTGCTAGCAGTCGTGAATTAAAAGATCAGTCAATAAAACTGTAGCTCTCTGCTGAAGCATTGGTAACAAAATTTAAAATAATACTTTCAATATATTTTCAGATTATTGACTCACAATCACTTACACTTATGCACATGACACTCAATGAGAAAATGCTTGTGTTAGGTTAAAGACTTGTATAGAAGAGAATTATAGAGATTTGTTTGTTTGGTACAAAAATTGAATTCATGCTTTTTTCTTGTACTACATGATGAAACACCACCTGACTATGTGATTCCAACTAAGAGTATACACAAATTTGATCAGTACTTAACACACCTCCCACAAGGCGAGGGTCATCATCAAGGGAGCTGACTGAAGTTGCAGATGTCCCTCCTACTTGGGACCCTCGGCCTGGGCGGCCAGTTGAGATCATTCCTCGAGAGAAATCTGACGAGGCTACTGGGTGTTTCAAGTCTGCACACAAGCGAATCATGCTATGGTTAGATAATACATTTCTCAGCGCAGAAAAGCCATTGACAAATTATTTGATAATCTCAGCTGCATAACTGATATGCTTACACAATTCTGGTGATGATTTAGTAAATTCATGTGCAAGAAGTATTTCAATTAAAAAGAAAGAAAAAAAATTAAGAGAAAACAGAAAGATAACAAAGCAGCAGATAATATTTTCTACCTTGCATCTTGCAAACGAGTATACAATAGCAAAACATAAAAAGCATTCCAAATGAGATACAAAGCAAAGGATGATTTTTAAAGAGGATTAGGCATTTGAACGCATTTAATACTTACCGTTCTTGATTTTATTGGTGTCAGTATATGTACCCATCTGTTCAGCTACTTCTGCCCAGGAGGGTTTGTGAAGGCTGTCCGAGTCTAGTGAAGTAGTGGTAGCAGTTGTGGGATTTGTTGAAGTGAGATGTGGAGGAGCTTGTGGTACTGGGGTGCTCCTGTTAAGGTTACGCAGATAGTCAGGAGGAACATTCTCCAGTTCATCGCCAGCTGAACCATAGCTACGCAAAGTGTCGAGATTGTTGAGCATGGCAGCAGGATGGTTGTATGGAGCAGGCTCATTGTTTGAGCTAGGAGTGTAGGAAGCAGGGCGAGGCGGACACTGGGGAGGGACCTGCAAACAAAACAGACAACACTGATAAAAGAACAGAAAATAATACAAGAAGTAGTGCACATGCTAGCATGCCTGGTAAACTACAACCTTTTGCTAGTTGCTTCATATTGAGTTCGAACTCAAAAAAACAAAGCTTCTATGTCCAAATAAACAAGTAACTACATGCAGTAATACAACAAATTAGGAAAAATAACGAGAGCATTTTCAAAACTTTTAAACTCCAACGTTGCTCTCAAATCACTTGTTTACTTTGATGTAAAGTTCTCAAAGTGTGATGAGATATTTTGAAAATATTCTCTTTCACACATTTGAAGAAATTATTGCATAAGTTTTATAGATCGTCAAACAAGTGAAAAATTTGTAGCAGAGATTTTAATAAAAACTCATTAAATTCAATATTAATAATTTACAGTTTTCTGCTAGAAACAAATGTCTTGAAGCACAGATAAAGAGTTCAAATCTAATATAACTAAATATTACAAAAGACAGGCACTTACAAGAAAGAATTTTTCAAAAGCACAGGAAAAAAAATGACGAAGTGAATAAAAATTTCTACATTTGTTTATGTCACATCTTTATGACAGCTGAGCTCCAATCCATGTATTTTCTTACCTGGCTGACTTCAAGATTGCTTAATTTTGATCCTCTCTTGAATTCATTGTCGTTTGGGCGAGCTGAATTAAGCACTATGTCCTTGTGAGTTTCATTATTTATATTATTAGTTCTTTCACGAGAACGTTTCACACGAAACCGTCTATACATAATAAATAGGAAAACCACTAGGAATATGATAGTCACAGCCACAAAAATTGCAATAAGTTCTTCCCATGTTACATTATATTTACTAGACGATATGGAAGTTGAATATAAAGATGTGGCACAATGACGGCCTGTCACATTAGGAGGACACACACAACGATAATTTCCGGGTTCATTGTAACAAGTTCCACCATTCTGACATGGTCCTCGAGCACTTCCATTACATTCATCAACATCAAGTTTACACAAGTCACCAGTGTATCCATGGCATTTACAAATTGGTCCTATGTCACCTTCTTCACATACTCCACCATTCAAACAAGGGTTTGGATTACAAAATCTTCCATACTCACATCGTTTACCACTAAATCGGGAATGAGGAAGACATTGACACATAAAATCGTTACCCATAGGTACAACATGACAACGTCCTCCATACAAGCATGGAGAGGAGGCACAAGGGTCTGTATCGATTTCACAAGATGATCCAGTAAATCGAGGGTGACAAGTGCAATCATAATCATCACCTCCATTGTCTATGCAAGTGCCTCCGTTAAGACATGGTTGTGACCCACATACACCTGGAGGGATCAACACTGTAGATGGATCACAGTTGAATTCCACATTAGCAAAACGTTTTAGCACAGCAACACTGCTAGCTCCACTCATATGAAGAGGCACAGAAACTCGAGCTATTCGGACATCATCCATACATCCAAAAAACCCTCGTTGAATATCTTCATAACCAAGAACTGTAGGATGTTGATGTACTTCTGCACCAAGGTAGATGTCAGTAGATTGAAGGTTCAGGATGCCATTATTGCCAGGAGCAGAACCATGAGCTACATGCTTTCCATCAACAACAAGTTTTGCACTGTTTCCATCTCTTTCCAATTGTATTTCATGCCACTGGCCATCACTTACATAGGCACTACCAACTCGCACTAATCCTTCTCCACTTCCCAAGTCAAATCTGTATTGTACCACTCCATTTTCAACCTGTATAAATAAAAGTAAAGCTAATTGAGAAAGATGTATGGTTCAATTACAAACATCAAATACAAATAAAAGTAGGTCACAGTCTTGTGTAATTCTATATTAATTAGAAAGAATAGTGTAATTGTCATTATCAAAATAATAATAATAATAATAATAATAATAATAATAATAATAATAATAATAATAATAATAATAAAAATAATAATACATCTACAGATCTTGGAATAAGATCATGTATAATTTTTTGAAAATAAGAGTGTTTCATGTAAGTTTCATGTAAGTTTCATGTAAGTTTGCAATTTTTAAACAATTTTTTTCTCAAAAACTGTTCCACCATTTTTCATTCCATTTTCTCCTCGTATGTATCAAAGGAGTAAAAAAATGGTGCAAGTCACTTTTTTAATGACCTGTATTTTTGAAATTCATGATCCAAGGGACATCAAAATTCAGTTTCAAAGACCTAGGATCCATTTTTTTTGAGATATGCACAATTCTAAAGCATGTTGCAGTGTAACATATGTTGTGAGTGGCATGTGTACCTTCTTTCCCCACAATGCAATAATCAGAGTACTCCATTTTTTTTCTTTATATCTGTTTGATGCAGAGCTGAATGTTAATTCCTTATCCTGCAGTAGCACACAGGGATTTTGCATTGCATTTCTTATAAATGGTAAGAAATTGTCAACTTTCCTTAAAGTATTATAAATAGAGGATGACGATGACGATGATGATGATGATGATGATGATAATAATAATGGGAATAACAATAATAAAACAATTACCTCTAAAATATTATAATCCACTTTCCCTGCAGCATACATCAAATTTCCTGTAAGATGCATTGTGCGTATACGCAATGACAAACTCATTCGATTTTCCAATATCTTTTTAACAAGTGAATTATCTACTCTGTACTGAGCATAACTTTTCCCACTGAAAGACACTGGGTTACGTGGAATGTAACATGATTCATCATGACATTTAGAAATGTCAACTTCACAAGTAGGACCAGCAAATCCTTCTGGACATTGGCATGAGAATCCTTGAGGTGATGCATCAGGGATACAAACTTTGAAGACTGGGCATGGATCTCTAGCACATTCATTAACAATGATTTCACATCTGTCTCCTAAAAATCAGAGAAACACGTTTTCAATAAATCATACAGTTAACAACTATTTCATAAGGATCCACGGAGCATGTAAACAAAACTTCATACCTGCATATCCTTCTTTACATTCACAGTGAACTTCATGATGATGATATGGGGATACAAAGCTGGTGAAATCAGCTGAAATTGAGGTTACGGATGTTTTATCAAGGACAATGTGATCCTCACATTCTCCATAGGTACAGTAACTTTGTGTACACTTGTCTCTTGCTATTTCTTCCACAACAAGCCCCCCTGCCTCAATTTCATCAATATTTCCATTAATAGCCTGCCTTACAGTATCTGCACTATGAAAGGCTGTATTACCTCCAACACTTTGTGATTTTTTCACAGCAAATAGGACGTCAAGGTCACTATTCTGTGCCTGGCGGGTATATCTTCCTTTAGATTTGCTCAACTCCACAGATGTTGGCTGAATACTTATAATAATGACATCCTTTAATCTGCCTTTTAAAGAATTACCCACTGCTCTTCTGAATCCTTTGCGATAACTCAAGACAAAATCCAAAGGACTAATATCCCTGAACCTAATAATTACTGAATTTGAAAGCATTTCTTCTGATACAAGCTCTACAGAGACCTTCACAATTGCATTTGATGTGAATTTTCCATCTGATACTGAAATGTTAATTCGATATTCACCAACATCCAGTCTTGGCAATGCAGAAAGTGTGCCATCGTTTCTATTTATTTCAAATAAATCAGTGGCAGGATTTTGTAACAAATTTCCAGTTGGAGTTTTAGCTAGACTGTAAGACAAGGTATCAAATTGGTCTTGATCAGATGCATGAATTTTTCCTATAACACCACCAGGAAATTCATCCATGAACGAGTTTACTGAGATTTCCAAGGGGGTGATATGAGGTGGGTACTGAGATTCTTCAATAACCTAAAACAAAGAATTATCACTGCTACTAAAATTTAAAAACTATTGAAAAGTTCCACATCATAAAATGAATTTGAATGACTCAGTTGCTATATTTAAAGCTGGACATACCTTAACAATAACCCACGTATCAGAAAAAAGTGGTGGGGTTCCATTATCAAACACCCGAATATGCAAATAATATTTATCTCTAATTTTGTGATTCAGTTTAGCTGCAGTACGAAGTATTCCATCTTGTTCCAGCATAAATGCTGTTCCCTCATTTCCTGATCTAATGTCATAAGTGTAAGGTGCTGCATTCGGATTTGCATCAGCATCTGTTACTATGAACTTGAGAACCATATGATGCAAAGGTTTATCCTCCTAGAAATTAATAATGTATAACAAATATGAAAAGAGTTATAAAATTAGTGCACTAAATACTTGCTTTTAATTTATATTGGGAAAGGAATTAATAACACTAAACAAAACTTGCATTAACTCACATTCAATAAGAACAAGTCAAGAAGATGTATCTGAAAATTTAACAATCAAAGCCATTATTTAAGTATGTACAATAAAATTAATATATTACCTGGACAATTGCAGTGTAATTAGCTTGAGAGAAGAGTGGTTGATTGTCATTAGCATCTGATATTTCAATGTTCACCATTACATAACTGCTCATAACTGGAAGACCATTGTCTCGTGCATGTACTTCCAAAACATAATTAGATACCTATGGAAGAAGAGGCAAAATCAATAGTGTATATAGGGATGATTAAAAGAATTGTGAACTCCCAATCTGCAGAAGGAATTTCCAGGAAGTATAGGCTACCATTTAGTATTAAATGTTTGATGTGTCTATTCCTTTAAAGCACCTATTCAATGAATCTCAAGACAACTTTTCAAGAAGAGAAGAAATAAGCTTTGATGAATATAGTCATTGGATCAAATATATAGCATACATATAATGTGAGAGGAGCATCTGGGGATGATCTCCTCTTCAAGAGGGTAAAATAAATAAAAAAAGAAAAAAATGTCGAAAATAATATTAAATCAAAATTACCATTTCTCGATCCAGAGTTCCAGCAACAGATATGTATCCTGTTTTCTCATTGATATGAAACTGTTTCTGCCTATCTCCTCTTTCAATAGAATATGTCACCTTTCCATTAGCTTCACTATCCAAATCAGTAGCTAATACCTAGATGAATAAAAGAAATGACTTCAGGTTATTTAATTCATGGACAAGTATGTTTTATGGAGAGATCAGAATTACTTTGAAAATCAGTTAAATATTACTGATTGAACTTAATTAACAAATTCACAATAATGCAATAATAAGCAATAAAAATGTAACAATTTTATTCCGGCCTCACACAGACAACTTTTTAGCACACCTGCAATATTTTATCTCCTATTTGAGCATCTTCTCGTATTCTCGCACTATATGAAACTTGGTTGAAAACAGGAGCGTTATCATTGCTATCAGTTACAGAAATATTAACTGTAGCATGGTTACTGAGAGGAGGAACTCCTCCATCAACTGCTTGAATGGTAAGAAAGTAATCTTTTGCTCTTTCATAGTCAAGATGGTCTGCGATAGTAATAACTCCTACAAAATCAGAAACAGAGAATTATTACTTATTTAATACTGTGAACAAAAAAATGTCTCAAATGAACATAAAATAAGGAAGTTACCTGATTTAGGATGAATTGCAAACTTTTTATGTTCATTTCCTCCTATAATAGAGTACGAAACTTCAGCATTAACCCCTGCATCCTTTGAAGTAGCTAACACACGAACAATTTCAGTTCCAACTGCATTTATTTCTGGGACACTGGCATAATAATATTTTGAAGCAAATTCAGGAGGATTGTCATTTATATCTAAGACTAGTACTGTTAGTCCAGCGAGTTTCGATAACTGTGGGGTACCCTGATCAATGGCTTGAACAGACAAATTGTACATAGCACGTGTTTCTCTATCCAAAGGTTTGGCAAGGGTAACTATACCACTATCAGAAGCTATTTTAAAATGTCCATTTGCTGAATCAACAAACGAATACTTGATCTTGCGATTGATGCCTGTATTAAAATAAAAAAAGATACAAAATCAATACAAATTTTTATGAAATTACATTAAGAGAAAATTAATAATAATATATTAATTAATAATGCTTACCTATATCTCTGTCGGTAGCATGCACTTTTGTAACCAATGTTCCAACTTCCACATCTTCTGGTAAGGTAGCACTATAAGAATGCATGGAAAATTCTGGAGGATTGTCATTCAAATCTGATATAAGGATTTCAATTTGTGAAGAACATTCCCATCCTGTTTTATCACGATCTTGAACATGGGCAGTGAGTTGATATTTTGATTGCTCTTCTCGATCAAGTGGACGTATAGTCTTTAAATGGCCTGAGAGAAAAACATTTATTTTATTTTCCAGTTACTGCCTAAGCACTTAGAATCAGATTCAATGGCAAGGAGTGCACTGCAGAGAATTTGTTAATTGGCACTATATAGTCTCAAAATGTTTCTAAGGCAATATATTCATCACTAGGGACAGACATAACTACAGTTTCATATTTATTTATGGTCATAATTATTTATTACATATTGTTCCCTGGCTGGGTGAATAAGGAATTTTTAATGAGGCATGGTTATTTTATATGCTGAGAGAATTATTTGCTGAGTATGTTCCACCTTAAGAAAGCACATGCTTGAATTAAATCTTTGCTCTGGGGTTGAACAGTCAGAGTTGAAATTCACGTACACCAATTTATTTGATACTTGTGTGAAAAACAGTCTCAGTGATTGGTAACTCACCTCCAGATTTGTCAAGAGAGAAGCGATCAGCACCTTCTCCAGTCAAATAATAACGCAAGTTAGCATTTGGCTCTTCATCTATATCATTTGCCAAAACTGTTAAAACATAGCTTCCTGGATGTACTCCTTCAGATAACACTTCACGATACCGATACTTTAAACAATATGGAGGATTATCTAAAAGAATAAATTGAAGACATTAAAATAATATCATTAATCAATTAAACAGACATCGGATGTTTAGGGACCAAGAATTAACATTATATTTGCCTAGAAAGGCTCCAAAAATATCAAGAAAAAGGAGAGAGAGAAAAAAAAAACTTGAACATTTCATAAAGAAACTTATTTAGTACTTTTTGTTCAAAACCTGAAATACACACGCCTCTTTCATGGACTGCATCATCATCATCATCATCATCATCATCATCATCAACATTAATGGCTCCTGCTTTCTTTTTAAAAAAAATGTTTACAATACTACAATGTTCTCAATCAAGTTCCTTGTTAAGTTACTACACATTTGGTTGAAGGAGGTGGGTCTGCTAGTAGCTACCCAACAAAAATAAATTCTTGATTTTAGGAAAACTCTTTTTCTCAAATGAAATTGGTTCATTTACTGAAGGAAACAATTTTTTAAGCTATATTGACATGACAGTCAAGTCATTTTGTCTTTCTTGGAATTGTCAATGCTCTTCTGGATCATTGGACCACTTACCAGATGCTTAATGTATTGTTTTTCAACACTGTACAGAGAACAAGGCTTGTACACAGAGAATAGAAATCAAATGAATAATTTTTCACAACCCTCTCGAATTTTTATTATCTCTCATTATTTATTATCATTTCAGTGCACAATATGATGTGAGAAAGAAAGAGAGAGGCCCTGAGAAAACAAAATGAAAATGAATGATTTTTTGATGATGATAATGAAATTTTTCTGATATCTTAGCATTGGAGATGATAATTGTGCACAAAAGACAATAAATAAATAGCCAGGACCTACAGCATAGCCCTACATACTAGCCCTTGCTAGCCACAAGCTGCAGGATCTGCAAGTTCGAAACCTGCCTGGGCATGGATGTTTACTTTAGTATCTTTAGTATTGGGGCATATCCCAAACAACAGGTATCACCTTCAATACCTCATTCCTTCCCAGACTTCTCCTTGTCTGAATTTAAGTGACTGCCTGTATGCCAAGGGAAGAAAGGTCCATAATGGGCTTAAGGGTCACAATATGAGAGCCACCTAGCTGTCACCAAACGCTAACTGTAAAAGGGTTGAAAAGTTGCCATGGGCCACAAGCCGCAGAGTAAATGCTCAGTCACCATGGGCTTAAGAGTCACTGCAGAGTTAGGGGATGAAAGTTTGAGTAAAGGGACTTTATGAAATTGTATCATTTGTCATGATTTGTACTGATATATTAACAGGCTTTAAATACATTTGTTAGAATAAAATAGGTATTATCCTAAACATCCGATGTGTACATATAATTATGAAGAAACTGATAACTAATTTAGAGTTTAATAAAACCAGATAATCCTTACCATTTGCATCTAATATTTCAATAGTTACTTTCGTTTTGGCAATAAATTTGCCATCTGTGGCAGTGACTTCTAAAATATATTTACTAATGCTCTCTCTATCAAGAGGCTTGGCAACATAGACTTCTCCAGTTTGCCTTATTTGAAATTGAGACTGAGGATCACCTGACGTGATATAAAACTCTACAGGTGATATAAGATCAGAGTCAAGATCAGTTGTTTCTAACTGCACAACAACAGTTCCAGGTAGAGCATCTTCATTTACTATAAAAAAGGAATTATCATTAATAGAGTTCACAATCCTGAATTTAAAAGAAACTCTCAATAAATATGCATCCAAACAGATTTTCTCATATTTATATATAATGAATGTTGCTAGACCAAAGTGATTATGGTTTGATACATCAAAACTGAATTATTTCAATGAACATAAAAACATATTGCATTTAAAATTGTCAGGATTGTATAGATACCTGTTGCTTCATCATGCCGGCTTTTGAACACAGGTGGGTTGTCATTATAATCTTTTAATTTAATATAAACACTTGTTCTAGCAAAATGTTTAGGATTTCCATTGTCAGTAGCAACAACTTGGAATACAAATTCTGACTGCTCTTCTTTGTCCAATTGCACTAAAGTAGTGATCCATCCAGTGTATGCATCTACTGCAAATACATTTGCCAAATCTCCAATATCACTTCCAAATGAATAACGAACTTCTCCATTACTACCTAAGTCTCTATCATGAGCAATTACTGCAATAGAAAAAGCAAATTTAAATTACATTATATTAGAGAATTTTACAATACAGAAAAAATATTATCAGACCTTCCTATTTAATAAAGAAATAAAGAGAAAATATGAAATTAAAGTATGTTTCCTTGACCATGTGTTTTAATTTGGATGCAACTTCTTCACAATATGTCATTTAAATGGAATAAATGAGAAAATGAATTATTTCTGCTGATGTTTCAATGTGTATTTCACCTTAATTGGAGCTAAAGTATTAGACAATGCTAGGATATAATGTGAATGAAAAAAATGCTTCACAAAACATACTAATAATAATAATAATAATAATAATAATAATAATAATAATCATCAATCAATCAATCAATGATTGGTGGCTCACCTTTACAGTAATATCGTCACCCTAACCAATCATGTTAATACGCAATTCTGTATAACAACCCATTGTTGAATTCTTTATGAATGTCAACATTAGTTAAACAAATTATTTATCAAACTCTGTCACCATATGTTAACATGGAGTAAATTTTAACAACAAAAAGTCTTTTAATGGCACAAAACTTCATTTTAAACATATTAAAACACTAATAAACAAATAATTTCTTTTTTACTCAAATCTCTAATACAGTAATTCTAATTTATTAATTCTAATATCCTAAATTAACATTAAAATGACAATGAACCATGGACTCCTGACAGAGAATCTCTTACGAAGCTACAATATCACTGACAAATAACGACAAAAAGGATTATTTTAAATATATTACTTCAACATGTAAAATGTATATCGTATCATACATTTAATATATTTCATTGTGAAAATACAAAAATATTAGTCACTTCCTGACTATTTACAGCTAATGAGCCACATTGAATCAATACCTTATGAAAAATGTTATAAAAATCAATTAACACCACATAGCAACAGGTTTTCACATAAGTAACTATTTATTTTTAGAACATTTGCATACACACTATTTCATCTTTCAGTATTCATTTTGTTATTGTATACATTTTTTTAGTTTGCTTCAGTATCTAATATAATTGCATTCTGGAATTTGAATCCATTTTTGAAGTCAATGGCTTGCTTAGTTAGTTCACAAGAAAGATGTACTCATTGTTAATGACATTAGTATGTCATCTGTTCTTTTTCTTATCTTCATGAAGTTCGTCTATACAGATAGTGTTCATCTATACAGAATGGCAGTCTGCACAAGAAATTCTGTATAGGTATATGTAATAACTTTTTGAGCATTGTTTTGTGTGTGTTTGAAAATACAAATATGCCAAGATTGTTGCAAGTGTTGTGAGCTACTTTTTTTCATTATTAATTAAGAGACCAATGGATTTTCATATAACATATTCTCAAATATTTTAGCATTAATGAAATATCAACATTATTATCATTTTTTCCATCCAAATAACCTATTGGCAATATATTGCAACAATGAAGAAAATAAAAAGTACCTTTCAAAATAGATGTTCCTTCACCAACATTTTCTGCCAGAGTCAATCGATAAGGACTACTTTCAAATTCAGGCATATTATCATTTTCATCCAAAACTTTGAGAGTGACTTCAGCTAATGCAGTAAGAGGAGGACTAGAATCTGTTTCTGCCAGTACTGCTATCAAATGTGTATCTTTAGCTTCACGATCTAATGTGCGAGCTAATGATAACTGCCCTTGGCTATCCACAGCAAACAACGGAGCATCTTCATTTCCAGATATTATACGATAATGTACTGATACATTAGTAACCATCTTTAATTTGGTAATTAAAGTTCCTGAAAGAAAAAGGTTTCATGTTATTACAATAATTGTATTATTATTTAATCAGAGAATATAATACTAGCTAGGAATTTTTAATTCTTACCCGGTGGGTCATTTTCTGAAATGAAGAATTTGTCATCTCGGCGCTCAAACATAGGAGCCACATCCTGTGAACTCATAACATAAATGTCTACAGGAACATTTGAGTAAAGTGAGGGGCTACCACGATCTTGCGCTCTCACAAAAAACTGAAACACTTGATTTTCTGTCAGAAAAGACAAAAAGGTTAAAAAATATAAATAAAAAGATCAATAAGTTTTCTCAAGAAAACTATTATTGATTATAATGCATACTTTTCTACAATATTTCTCAAGCAATATATATTACATACCCCAAGGAACAGCACTTCTATTCAGAGTGATAACACCAGAATGATTATTTATTGTAAAAAGTTCTTTCACACCAGAAGTTTGTGTTTCATAAATTGAATATAAGATATCTGCAGCCATATCATCATCAGCATCTACTGCTTTTATCTGCACAGAAAAATAATTGATCTATCATACATAATCATAAATAAACAAAAGGTTTATGAAAATTGACCTTACCCTCAAAATTCTTGAATTAATTGTAAGATTGTTTTGAATCGTTGCTTTATATTCTCTCAAAAGGAATTTGGGTGTGTTATCATTTTCATCTCCAACTTTAACTCTCACAATTACAAATCCTGATCTACCACCACCATCAGTAGCCATCACTGGAATTTCATACAATTTTTGAACTTCTCTGTCAAGTTTCTTCTTTGTAGTAATTTCTCCTGTAAAGCACAATCATATGATCAACAGTTTAGTAATTAATGAACTAATATTTACATTTAAAACACCTCTTTAAATGAAATTTTATGAACCATTGTTATAATTATCATCATTATTAGTATTATTATTGTTATTATTAGTATTATTATTGTTGTTATTATTATTATTATTATTATTATTATTATTATTGTTGTTGTTGTTGTGGTTATTATTATTATTTCTTGTTAGTGTAAATATTTCTCATGGCATTGAGATTATATGGTTCTGTTGCACCTTAGATGCATAGTTTCATATGTATCAATCATGAGGGGCCGATGAGAGTTCCATGTTTGTTCCCATAATTCCACACCAGTATGTAGGTTCAACCTGAATCTAACACCTCACCAGACTGCAATATATTACCTCAGACTACATGAGTGATGTAAGGTACTCTGAAGTATTGTGATCAAGGTGCGAATTGACAGTTTTTTCTAGACATGCAAACATTTAGCGGGGGGGTGGGGGGTGGGGGTGGAAGGATTGGAACGAAAACCATCTTTAATTATGAAGCATGATTTGAATAAATGAATAAATTCTAAGTAAGTGCATAAAATATTTTTCCACCAGTTTCTTTGATTTGAACTTTCCTAAGTGTGGAGATTATGAATGAACCACCTAAGCATGGATTAATTGTGCCAAATGGCAGGGACTTTTCCAATAGGGGCTATCATACTCTTGAAGAAGGGAACAATCCTTAACATCCCCCTGAAAATTCTCACTGTAGGTTTTGGGTGTGTTTAAGTGTGTGTGTTTGAGTGTGTGTGTGTGTGTGTGTGTGTGTGTGTGTGTGTGTGTGTGTGTGTGTGTGTGTTTGAGTGTGTTTGTGTTTGAGTGTGTTTGTGTTTGAGTGTGTGTGTGTTTGAGTGTGTGTGTGTGTGTTTGAGTGTGTGTGTTTGAGTGTGTGAGTGTGGGAGTGTTTGAGTGAGTGTGTTTGAGTGTGTGTGTGTGTGTGCGCGTGCGTGCATGCGTGTGTGATAATAGACTGAGATAATTACTGCCCCAAAAAATAAAACTAATGAAAAGGTAAAGAGTAGAGATCTAATTAAATATTCTTTTCTCCAGGTGCATGAGACCTTGAGTAGCTGTGTAAGAGTAATTCCTGTTCTGCTTCTGTTTACGCAGAAGATTATATTAATATTATTTTAATTTTAGTCTTTAAAGATCTTCAAAAAAGATATAATATTAATTTACAGATAATTAAATCATAATACTTGAGAAGTAATTATACAACAAGCACAACTGAAGATGAGATTCATGAGATTCAAACTTGAACATTTAAGGAAATTCCAGTTTCTCTTTTCTAAAAATTACACAATTTTGATGATTTTACACAATTCTTGAATTTGTTACAGTAACATCCAAAAATGAGCCAAATACCTGATTTCCTATTTATATCAAATATTTCTCGTAACAATTCAGATGGAATAGCATATGTAATTTCTCCATATTCTCCAAAGTCTTCATCTGATGCAGTTACTTTTGTAACCATTGTACCATGTGGTTGATTTTCATTTACTTTCACTTCAAACTGCAGTTTGGGAAATACTGGATTATGTCTGTTAGCTGGTAATATTTCAATTTGAACTCTGGTAAAGCTTGTGTAGACTCCATCTGTTACAGATATGTTCAAAATGCTCATGGTATCCTCGGCAAAATTTTGCATATTGATCAAAGAAATAATTCCTGGAAAAAAATAACACATTTTTTCTTTCAATTTTGTTCACTGTTAAAAGTTAATTAAAATTCCATTAGATATGTGATTCTGTGTCAAGTACCTGTAGCAGAATCAATAGAAAATGTCTGCAACTCATTGCCTCCAACTATTGTGTATGACAATCTTTCATAATCTACATAATCTGGATCACTAGCTTTAACTACTGTGACAAACTGACCTCTTTGAGCATGTTCTGATAAAAAGCAGGTGTATGATGGTTGCTCAAATTTTGGAGGATTATCATTCATATCCAGAACTGTTGAGAGAGATCAATAAATAAAATAATAAAATAGGGCATTATCAATGGACTTTGTGAAAACTTTACAAGAATCTTACCAGTAACCCAAACATGGGCTGTACTTGAGAGGCTTGGAACTCCCCCATCCTTAGCGACCACAGTAAAATGATGACTGTTGTGTATTTCATGATCGAGAGATCTTTTCAAGTAAATAGTTCCATCATCAGGGTCAATATGAAAATATTCAGATGAATTAGTAGAGTCACCTTGTATTTCATACCTTACTTTCTGGTTTATTCCTATAAAATGAGAAAAATAGTAATTAAAACATAAACAATTCAATCAATAAATATTGCAAAATAATGTAAGTAATTTCAAGAAAAGTCAGTACCTGTATCATTATCTCTACTAGATACTTTAAGAACTGATGTGCCAAATGGAGCAGCTTCAGATACAGAAATGTTATATGCATCTGTACTGAATTCTGGAGGGCAGTCATTTACATCTTGTACTAAGATACTAACAAGAACCTCAGCATATACACCAGATACACTGTCTGTGGCTCTAATAGTTAATTCATATTGTTTCTTTTGTTCATAGTCCAATTCATCCACAACGGAAATCACACCTGTGTTGCAAATAAATTGATCCTTAGTGCATTAAATTTAACTTTACAGTCAAAAGAAAATTGCCTTAGGTCATAAATATTTATTTATTACTACAAACAAAAATGTGTATGATGAAGAGAAAGGAAAAAAAAGAGCAAAACAACATGCAATCTCAAAATTTTGGTAATTCATCATGCACCATTAGAGAAATTGACTATCAAAGAGTTTTTCAATTATTTACTTTTTATTTATTTTGAATGATGTCACAAATTTCTGACATGCGCAAAACATAATGTTAGAAACTTCATAAAATCATTGACCACATTTTATTAGGTAATCAGACATAAACTAAATTTTAAATATATATTGGTCTCAATTTGTACCATCGGCACAATATTAATCATGAAATAATCAAAGGGTCCATTGTATCTTTGGCATTTCTGCAAAAAACGTGGAAAAGAAAATAAACAAAGTTTTTTAACGCAATAAATACTGACAATAAAAGCTGAAAATGAAATTTAACAGATTCACAAGATAATGAAAACCATCTTCAAACCAAAAGTATAATATGTTCTTTCATGGCTTTGCAGTCCAAGTATTCTTTTTAAAGAAATGCTTCTTGAAAGAAATTTCAATCATTTTGAATTGATTGGATATCTAAAATACATCTTCAAACCAGTATGGATAAGAAAAGATTAAAAAAAGAAAAAGGAATTCCAATCCAAGAGAGACACAGAGAAATGTTCCATCACATGAAGTATTAGCAAAACTAAGAAAAACAAAAATCCATAATTATTCTAGTTATTATCGATTCAAAAATTAATAATTTTTTGTGCTAGTAAAAACATTATCATGAAGGAGCAAAAACTTGTAACTGCTGAACAACTGAAAATAAGTTTTGTATTTAAAATAGGACATATCTCAGGAAAGATACTCACTGATGAACTTAAAACTTCATTAATTTAATACTCTCAATAAAAATTTATAAAGAAATTTCCCAAGGCCACTATTTATGTACAAATATTTCAGTATTCTTATATATTTTCATATTATAAGCCTTGAAAGAACATTTTAGTAAGAAAAGAGAAAAAGCTTTGTGTATCAGTGTTGTTAGCAAACACCAGAATGATGTTATGGAAGCTAGAACATCCCTCATGCTCTTGCACATGCTAAAAGAAATAACACAAAGCCAACAAACATGTAAAAAGATGAATGATATACTCACAGGGACCATTGTTACTGTCTGGGGCTGTGAAAGGGAGACACAAAATACGAACATCAGTACCGAATGTCCAGATATAGTAGTAAGTAAATAGAGTTGAGCAAATAGGTATATTGGTGATTAAGGACAATCACCATCATTACTGAGCAAATTATGTCACCTGTCTTACACACATGCAATACTTGTAAAAAATTAAAAGATAAGTTATCAGTTTACTGTTAACATAAATAGATTCCAATTCCCAGAAGTATGTAATAAATTTACTTCACTTGGTTATACAAATCCCGAAAATAAATTGTTATGATGTTTCTAATTATAAATCCAAAACCTTCTGAATTGTTATGTTATGGTAGTACTTTGAATAGCCTATACGGGCATGAAACATTAAAACCTTAAACCAATCTTTAAAAAATGATCCTAATATTACGTTCATAATAAGAAAACATTCATGTACTAATCAAAGATAGTGATCAGAACCAACAACCATTCTTCATAAAGGTCATTCTGAGAGAAAAACACACTCAGAAAGATAATTTAGTGGGTCAATAAGTTATAATAGTATCAAACTTTTATAGAAAATGCACAAAATGCTTTGGAAGACTTGAACAAGCTATAGTAATGGGCTAGAGAAAAAAAGCCCATTGATCCAAAGCTTCTTCCTTTTGGTTTTATTTTAGAGTTTGTAATGAAAATTGAATTTGAGAAATTTTTTTCTTACCTTGGCACAGGACTTTTAGTTTAAAGAACAAAAAACTTAAAATACCCCTCTGGGCAACATACAATGTCCCTTTACTATAGCTTTCATCCAATATGCAAATTTTTTGCATCATCAAAAAGCTTTAAACTACTAGTTTTTCATGCTGAACACACAACTACAGATGAGTTACAATGCAATACATACCCGTGTTAAAATCAAGAGCAAATTCTTCATAGTCATTTCCTTTAACAATACTATATATCAACTTTCTCCCCAGTGGTGACTCAGCCTGAATACTAACAGTGAGGGGAGAATGGATTTCAATACTCTCAGGCACACTATCAGTGTAAAACTGTTTGTCAAATATAGGCATTGATCTATCAATCACTTTAACATGAACAGGCACTTCAGTAGAGCATGGAGAAATACCTGTAAGCAAGAAGTAGGTCATCTGTCAAGAACTTATCATTTTGTAGTTTTATTCAATACATATGAAATATTTATAATCTACAATTACCTAATATAAAATAAAACAAACAGGAAAGTTAATTGTATCTGTGTTACAAAACCTCCAAATCTTTTCAAAAGGATTTATTAGTTTTAACATATATGAGTGTTTGTTTTAAATATAATTAATGTTCTGTAATTTTATTCTAACAAATGGAATAGACTTTAACTACCAAAAATGAAACATAATTAGTAAAAATTAATAATAATAATAATAATAATAATAATAATAATAATAATAATAATAATAATAATAATAATTCAAAAAAATTTAATTATGAATATTTCTATGAAGTTTTTGGTAGAATTGATTTCCCTTCCTTGCTGTTGACAAATAATAATTATCCTTTTAGATTTAAATATTCAATTGTGGGACAATATTTGAAATTTGAAGCTACCATTGAAACAAATTTTGACAAGGAACATTAACAATTACTCAAAAGTTCATTAGAAATATAATTATCCAGTAAAATCATTATATGACCCACAACATACCATACATATGAAATATGTAATTTTACCTCCATCATATGCTGCAATGATCAATTCATATTCTCTATTGTGACCCTCTAAACTTTGTTTTAATGTAACTTCTCCAGTCTTCCGACACACCTTGAAGAGTTCACCATGTCCTTTTATTAGCTCATAACGTACTTCACCATTTTCTCCTTTATCCATATCTACAGCATGAACCTGTCAAGTTTTATTATTAGTAAATTGTTGAATCAAATTTTAAAAACTGATGAATACAAATTTCTGGTTTAATTCAATCAAATTCTTACTTTTGTTATGCCGTCTCCTTTCTGAGCATCCACTGACACTACAGCATAATATGGTAAGTTCACAAACATAGGGCAGTTATCATTAATATCTAGAATTGTGACATTCACCATAACATGTGCCACTCTCGGCCTTTCTTCATCTACTTCTTCACTTCGAGCCTAAAGAAAGGAAAAAAGGAATTATTACAAATTAATGTTTGGTAGTCAAATTAAATTTGGAACAGAATGAAGATTATTTATTAACACTTACTTCCACAATAAGTTCATATTTATCTTTCAATTCTCTATCAAATCGTTTCCCTGTTGTTTTTATGACTCCTGAAGTGGGACCAATTGTAAACATATCAGTAGGATTTAAAATGCTGAATACTACATGCTCATTGAGAGCACTTCCAAGAACATTGACCACCACAACAGGTGAGATCTTTGTGGTATTCTCCAGAATAGTTCCAAGATACACACTCTTCTGAAATGTTAAACCTGAATTTTCTGATTTTTCCACTTTAATATTCACTTGGGCTACACTGGAAAATTTGCCATCTGATACACGTAAGTGCAGTTTATGAAATTGTTTAATATGCCTAGTATCAGCTACTGTAACAACACCTGATTTTGCATCTATGGCAAATACATTTCCTTTGTTTCCATCAATTATGTCATAACGAAGAACTGTGTTTTCTTGTGAATCAGGATCTGATGCATTTACTCTCACAACAGCAACATTTTGGTACGTAGGCAAAAGAAGAGTGGTATTGTATTCAGATTGTAAAAAGTGAGGTGAACAGTCATTGACATCCAAAATTGTGATTTCAACACGAGCTGTGGTTTCTGAAGATAATCGTGGCTTCCCCAAATCGGATACTTTAACATGAAAGTGAAAATGTGCATACTTTTCATGGTCTAATGCCATCACAGTTCGAATAGCTCCTGCAAACGAAAACAGTAATGAATAAACACATCAAGAAGGAGTGTTAGGGAATTCTCAAGTAGATTTTTTCTCATCAAATTATGTTTCAGTGTTTTATTCCCTTACAAGAACAATAAGTACAAAAGCAATTTATTCTCACCAGTGCTGGAGTCAATACGAAAATATGTCCTGGGTAAAGTTTCAACAATATCATAACTTAAAAGGGCATTGAGTTCAGAATCATCATCTTTTGCTTTAATGACCAATGGAGAGCTATTATTTGCAAGAATCAATGAGCCAACAGGGGCAGCCTCACTGATGCTCCCCATATATAAAGCTTGAACAAATCTTGGAGCATTGTCATTACGATCCAAAACATGAACAATTACATTACATTTTGCCTTTGCACCAGCCTGAAATTTTTTAACAAAACATAAAATAAAACAAATTGTATATATATAAAAACAAACACTTTCTTTTTGTCTTTTGATGAAACACTTACCATATTTGTAGCTTCCACAGTTAAATTATAAACTTTGTTGAGCTCATAATCTAACTGTCTTTTTGTAATGATAACACCAGTGCTAGGGTTTATAAAATACATGTCATCTGTGTTCCCAGCAATGATTTCAAAGAAAAGAGAAGATGTACTTCTTGCCTCCAGATGTTTAACATAAGTGCCAATTGGTTGATTTTCATATATTTCAGCTGCATGTTCTTTCTTCATAAACCTTAAACATAACAAAAAAATAACTAAGTATTTAACACTCTACAAGAAATGTGGAACAACAAATCAAAATATACTTCACAAGAGGTTAGTTGACGAAGGCATTAATTAAAATATTATCTTTATTTTACTGTGGATTCTGTTTCTGTAAATCAAACAAGTAGAATAATTCTAGTGAAGGGAAGGTTCATTTTTTCAAATTAACACCTGCAAGGTCTAAGCTCTTTTTGAGTTAATACATGGAGATTGATTGTTTGGTCTATAAATCCCAAATATGAAATATAAGTTTTGAAAAATGTAAATAGCATTCTATCAAATCACTTACCTTGGAGGAGCATTATCTGCCATAGTGACCATTACATGTACAGGAATTGTGGATGAAAGAGGAGGAGATCCATTATCAGTAGCCTTCACAATGAGCATATATTCTGACATTGAACCAAGATCTAATTCTCTAGCAATTTGTACAGTGCCCAGAGTAGGATCAATACTGAACACATTTCCAATGTTGCCTAATAATTCAATAAAAAAAATTTTAAATCAGAGAAAGTAGAGCAGTTGTTCATACTGAGCAATTATTTAGATACAAAACAAGTAAACAATCTAATTACAAATATATATACCTGAGGTAATGGAATATGTTATTTTAGCATTTTCTCCTCTATCTTTATCAATTGCATAGACTTGCACAACAGCTGAACCAATGCTTGCTGTCTCGAAAACTTTTCCTTGAATTATTTGACTGGTGAATTCTGGATGGTGATCATTGTGGTCATGAACAGTTACGACAACTCTAGCATAATTTCGTTTTGATGGTGTTCCTTGATCCTTAACCATTACAGTTAATATATGCTCTTCAATAGTTTCTCTAAGACAACAAAATAAGAATTAATCAAATAAATGATACATTTTCAAGGCAATGTATAATATTTTCAAGGTGATGTAAAATAAATTTATTGTACCTGTCCAGTTTTTCATTCAAAACAACAGCTCCAGTAACAGAATCAACTTTAAAGATGGAAAGAGAAGCTGGATTTCTAGCAGCATACAAACTGTAGAATACTTTTTTATCTTCATCATCATCAGTTGCCAGAAGTTGAAGAATTTCTGTACCTTTTTCAACATTTTCTGATATTTCTACATTATAAACTTTCTCAGAGAAATTTGGCCGACAGTCATTAATATCAATGACAGTTACATAAAGCTGTAAATTAATAATCCAAGATATTGTAGACAATTATCACCAATAATTATTTATTATTGAAAAAGTTCTAATAAGTCACAGATAATTGGTATAGACAAATGTGCACACCACATAACTTACCTGTGTATACACTGTATGAACACCATCTGTCACGCTGATTGTCAAATTGTATTTATTTTTTCTTTCCCAATCAAGTTTTTTAGCTAAGAGGATGTTTCCTTTATCACGGCCAATGAAGAAATCATGGTCATCATCACCACCTATCAATTAACATTTAATGAGTTATTTTTCTCAGTACTATAGATTCAAATTATAAAATCTCAATCTATGATGAATATTGTTAGGAATATGACCAATTTAACCAGACAAATTATAAAAAACATTGTTTTGAAGGATAAGTGTGCAGTGGTGAAAGACCATGCTACCGAGGCTAATCTCTAATATTTATTAGGAATAACAGTTAATCCAACAGTGGGCACACAACTGTGTTAAAAGTATTTCTAACAGAGTAATACTTTCTGTTCCATTGTTGCTATTCTCTTAATAATTTAATAGTTATGGCATGTCACACTAATTTAATGACAATTAAATTACACTTCATTACTTCATGAAGTATTTAAGGATGAACTGTGTACCTACTGGCTCATCCGTATTCCACAAAGATACACCAATCAGACAAACCAAGTATATTCAAACAGCAATTGACAAAACCATTTTAGACAAAACAGAACACATCTAAGTAGTACCATACTACTAAAAAGATTAACTAGCCTCAGTCTAACCTGATGTTCAAGTCTTATGGGAGAGACAGCTGTCAGCTGTAAAGAAGTGTAACTTAGAGGCCTGGGTAGAAGAACAACAACAAAAGTCAAAAGCTGTAGGTGGAAAATATATCATTTACAGTCATTAATGTCACAAAACTTATGAACTTGAAGTCACCAGGCCTACATAGAGTTCACAACTTTTGGTATAAAATAGTCATATCAGACAATGAAGCAAAGATGCCCAGTTTTCTGTCTTGTCATATTACTTACTTGTTGCTCAAAAATGCTCTGAATACAGAAGACCTCACAGAATATCAATCAATAACCTGCTTGACTATGCTACATAACATTTCAGCATTGTGTTTGGATAATTCATGTGCTTCATAAAATATGCTACATTAAATTTTAGCATCATGTTTATATAATTCATGTGCTTCTTTGTCTAAAGATTCTGATCTCTTCCTTTGGTCTTTGAGATAATTGACTAACAACGTAGAGCTATATGACCCTTAATGCTACCTGTCCTCCACTGGCAGCCTACTATTTGACATCGAACTATGTCTACCATTGTGGCACCCCGGTAGCAGCTTTTGAGTTAACCAGTATGTGTGCAATGCATGTACACCACTCATTCTCCTATATGATTTGCAATTACAGGAAGAAAATTGTAATAGTGTTATGACTCTCATAGAGAAATTATACAAATAAAACATTGTAACAAAATATATTTAAATATATTTAGTTTTTAACATAACTGCATTTCACAAAAATTAGTTGTTGTAGTGTCATCTAATCAGGAGGTTGAATGTCACCATAGTGAAGTCACTGTAATGATGTGCAAGCTCCCGATTAGATGAGACGGAAACAGATGATGACATGCGAAGTGCAGCTCTAAATAAACCTAAAGTGTAGTGAACATTTTTTATTGTAGTGCAAACATGCAACAACTGGCATGACTGGTCACTTATGGTTGTTGTTTTGTTGTTAATCTGGATTGACATTTTATACACTTACCCACAATGTCATACCATAACATATCTCCATCATCATCTATTGCTTGAATTAATGCAACAAGATAAGTGATATCATCACTTTCTGTAACTTCAACAGTTTGATTTGGATTTTTTATTTCAGGAGGATGAGGAGATGTTTTAGGAACTTTCATGACTTGTACTGACACCCTAGTAGTATGACTTTTTTGTGGCAATCCATTGTCTTGAGCTCGAATCTAATGTTGAAAGAAACGTAGAGAAAATGTTAAGTTTTGTACTTAGTTGTACTGGGCTTACGTTGAGATATATAAATTATGTGACAGTAGAAATAAAAATGTCATAACCATGAAGTAATACACAAAACTTACTCGAAGATCATACTCTTGACCTTCTTGGAAGCCCCTTTGAGAATATACAACTCCAGTCTTCGGATGAATTCGAAATTTCCCTATGCCACGCCCTGATTTAATACTGTAGGTAATATCTCCATTTGGCCCCTCATCTAAATCATATCCCAAAACCTGTAAAAATAATATACGAATTATGATTCAGTATTAAATATCAGGAAAAAAAAAAAAAAGACCACAAACGCAAACAAAAATTCAACAATTGAAAATGTTAAGAGGGTGAAGAACATACTGCATGTTGATTTTAAAGTAGAATGACACAATTTTATTTCTTTGGTTAGTCTTGTAGAAACAACTCAAACATGCCATGTTAACATCGTGAAAATAAATTATTTAAACTTCAAACCTGTTTACATCTTAATACATGTGTTAATGAAGAGGTCTGAAATCCAATTCTGATTAAAATTGCATGCAATGAAGTGAGTTGTCATGAAAAATGTCTATTACTGACAGTAAGAAAAATGTTCTTTATTAGATAATTATAAGAAAATATTAAATTTGAAACTACTTGTACAACAAAAGTAGCATAATGTATGTATAATAAATCAGCAACTAATGTCAACTTACTACAAAAATACAGACTTCAAAATATCAAACTACATTTTTATTTCACACTGTGGGTCCTACATATACAATGTAAAACATATTATTAATATATAATACAACTGGCAAATTACAAATTATAATAAAGAGTACAGCATAAACAAACTCGCAAAATAGTCTATTTACTTAAATAGAGGCCTTTGATGAAATTGACCACAGAACTTTCTGTGCTCAGGGATAATGAAATACAAGTTCGCTATACATTTGTGGAATTAGCATCCGCTACCAAGATGAAAATCTGAAGAAGTACATCTGATGAGAACTATTATTACAAAAGGTAAACAAGTTACTTCTACCCATTTATCCACAAATACTGCAATTTCCAAACTACACAAAACCTGTGGAAGCAAAAAGCATACGTAAGCTTATACTCTCATTAGGCAGAAATACATAATATGACCTGTGAAAATTTAACTATAAAAGCTCAAGATGTTTAGAAGATTGTAGTCCCATTCCACATCAAAGATCAAAGTGCTACATTCATTCAACATGCTGGTCAGTACACAAGGACACACAGAGAAAACAGATATTAAAACATAAAGCAAGCATAACAAATCAACATTATTCTTTGCAAACAGATGATTATTATAAAAACATTTGCAAACAATTCCTATTCCAAAATCTTACCCTCAATACTGGTTCTCCTGATAAGCTGTCGGGATCAAAAGTCTCCCATGTTCCATTTTCAAGAAAGGTATCAACAGCTACCTCGAGCTCCTCTGTGCCATTCTGTACAGGCGCAAAGACAAGTGACGTTGTTTAGCTCAACTTCTGTTAGGTATGTTATTAGGATAAAATTAGTCAGACTGCTTCTTTAAACAAAATTCTTCATTTGTTTATGTAGGAAAAATATTTTGTACGTAAGTATAAAAAAAAAGTAAATGATACTGTTTCAATTCAATTAGGTGAAGTTTTAAATACTTATTTTAAATGTTTGTAAGTTCATACAATAACATTCCTCTCTCCAAGGAATGCACATAGCAGTTCATATGTACATCAGATATTAATGTTTGCTTTGGATTCATCAGTGGTCAATAAAAATATTGTTGCATAATTATTAATTAATGAAGCAGTCCAAGAAAAATGAACAGTGGAAGTTAATTTTTGTTAATTTTAAAAGCAAAATTAATTTAAATTGAAAGCTTGTTTTCCTTCCTTTCTTTGTGTATATTGCACGTTGTATTGATTTAAAGAGATTTTTAGTGATAGTTTCAGGAGCACCACAATATTGGTTCTGTTAATTTGAAATACATTTCCATTTTTAAAATTTTTATTTCTTTGTAAAAAGAAAATAACCAAAATGCTTACTCTCTGGAAGTCAAGCTACTTTTAATGATTAATATTTAGTTTTAAGAATTTTGTTATATATGCAAATTAATCAGTGTGTTTGACGAAGTATTTTATCATTGTCACAGATGGCACTACAGAGCTATAATGTTGTTCCCATAGTTTATAGAGGAAGTTAGTACAGCAGTATTGATAGGAGATTCTAAGAAGCTTAATGGGACACAATACATTCAACCAACTGCCACCTTTAAACCACAGCCGCAACATTTCTTGATTAAAAAACATTTTCTTTTTTGTACTACAAGACATAAAATTGCTTCTGTTATTTCTAATCAGTTTTTATTTGATCTTCCCAAATATTCTTCAAATGTTGACATCCAACAGCACCATATTCAGAACAAAAAGTTTAGAAGTAAGACATTTGCAATTATCTCTCAGAGAAACAGAAATATTAATAAATTAAAATATGCAGAAACCCATGGGCATTAGAGAGAATGTTTCTAAATAGCAGTAGTCAGGGTTTTCTATTGTCAGAAAGCAACTACATTAGCAGTAGGGTACCTGAGCTGAAGAAAGCCTGTGAAAATTCACATGAAGAATGAAACAGCCACAAAATATTCAAATTATAAATGAACATAAAACTGCTCTTGATATGACCTTATTGAGTGTATTTTAAATTATTAAACAGCTTCTATGCAAGCAAATATTATGCATTTGCTGGTAGAAATGTTAAAATGAGAAATTTAAATAGCAAGGTGAAATTCTTCATTGACAACCAAATCTGTACCAGCAAACTGATTTCAATGGTGACAGGTGAATAACATAAATTTGCATTTTTAAAGCTGGAAACCAAGCATGTGATTTTCATTGTGTAATTCAATTGTACAAACATAAGTTTTGAATTAAGCAATAAATAAGAGTGAAACAAGTATGCTGTGAACAAAATTTTACTCTTTAAAATTCATTCATATTTAGGGACTCCATTATGAGTGACAGTAATGATAGGAACTGAAGTGATGTTTCCATGCAGTAGTGTATTTTGGTGAAAAAAATAAAATGGTTACATTCATTGCATGAATGGTTTTTAAACATGCATGCAATTAATATTTTTTTGACATCAAGACAATATTTGAACAGAGCACCACCATGACATTTTAATGAAGTGCATGGGTTGAACCTATCCTTTATGACTGTTGCAGAGCATTGTTTAAATACAGTTTCTTTTATATAGGACAATTTTGTGTCTGATATATCAGTTTTCAAGAATTTTCATTTAGTGCATTTTCTTTTTGTTTTCGAAAGGGGAAAAAATAATATTAAGATAGTCTGAAGAAATGAAATGTCAAAACTCTCCATCAGTCATATGATCAAGAACAAGCAAAAAATTCTTATTATAAACACTGAATAATCTTAAATATTTATTTGACATCATTAAGTGTAAATAATTGTATTTCGACTCAAGGCAGTCATCTGATTTTCAAAACTTTGAAAACATAAAATTATCTTTCATGCTTCTTTACCGAGATGTGATAGCACAGTACTGCATTTGCATAGTCATTAACAATTTAAATTAATTTTTGTAAATATTATTTACATAAATTTGCAATGTGCTCATTTAATAGATACAGTAGAAAGAACAACCATACAAAAAATCAATTGTCATGCTTTTCTTTTAAAAATGTTGTTATAAATTCCCATGTTTATGTTGCATAGATTAAAAATTATTTTAAACTTTCCATGTGAATTATCATGAAGGGAATTTAATGTTTTGCAGCAACATGCCAATGAAACAGTCGAATAGATATTCAGCTATGGAAGTTGACTTATACCAAATGTTACAAGTTCCAAATATCAGAGATGTCTCTATAACATAAGGGGTCTTAATTTTCTAAACAGCATGCACTAATTAAGTGTACCAAAGATTGTTTCTTCAAATTGTCATTTTAGATATCATCCAGCATTGCAACACCATTTTGAGGGAAGAGAAGAGCTAAAGGAAACTAATTAAGACACCATTCATTATAAAAATGTGCAATAAAACAAAAACAATACCTGGAAGAGAGGCAAATCATGACTTGTAGATTCAGGAATCTGGATTTTGTAAAATGACTGCTCAAACTGTGGAGCATGGTCATTCACATCTGCAACTGTTACCACAACGCGAGTTGTTGATGAAAGAGGAGGGCTTCCATTGTCGCTTACAGTCACCTGTAACAAATGCATTATATTTTTAACACTGGAATGCCTGGACTTTCTGTACCCTAGGCATACTAACATATGCCAAAAAATGACACAAGACTAATTACAGTACATTTTACAAAAAACTGTAATGTGAAATTGTATGCAAAGATCAAGGAAGTTATTTATAGCAAAAACAGCTTTTTAATGTTTGTTGAATTTTTTAAGATTAAAAATAAAAATGAAATAGACCCAGAAATGTTAATGTAGTACAACATATATACATTTAACTCTCAGACTAATACTGTTTTTGTAAACAATAGTAGCAATTGTATGTTCTACTTATGGTTAGGACTAAAAAATATATTACAAAAAATAAACATTTGCAAAAAACACTTTTTCTGTTATTTACATCAGTAAATATATGCATAGTTCCTTAGCAACAAACCATTTAATGTTTAATTGGAGCACCAAGGTCCTGGAGATTCTTCATAATTTCTTTTGCTTTTTGCTGAATTTTGCTGCAATAAGTTCTATGCAACCGAGACTCCCATGTAAATTCACTTCAGTATTTTGACTAAACTGTCTAATGTTTGCCCAATTTTTATTAGTGTTCCAGTGTGCTGCTGTAAAATTATATATTTGAAGGCAATGATAAGGGTCCCACTGTAGGCCCTGGAGCTCCATTAGTGTAATTATTTTGGCTTAGTGTAATCTGCTTTGCTGCATATACAATTGTTGTTAGGACAAAATTAATTGCTTGGGAAAAGTGTCTGATACCAATATGTAACCAATTGTACCAGACAATCTGTATATATTGCACTGATTGAACATAATTTATCTTTCAAATTTTGGTATTTATAAAAATATTACCACTGCTCTCCATTCTTACAACTAACTATATACTAACAATAAAAATATATATCCAAGTTTAACAACAAATTAACAATATAAATATAATCGATACAAGAAATAATCCCCGTCTAACAATATACATTTCATGTTATTTTTTATCAATATTTGATGATGTTCTCAATGTTCATACAGTTTAAACTTCGTTATATAAATATATTATTGCATTTCAAAATTCCTGCAATTACTTTTTTAATTTATTTAAGGAATTGTCAAAACAACCACAATAACAATAATAATAATAATAATAATAATAATAATAATAATAATAATAATAATAATAATAATAGACTCTTAATAATAAAATTTCCATTATGAAATAGCGAGACTCGGAATCCAAGGCCTGCTATTCAATCTCAGCATTATATTATTTTTATTTTTAAATTTCTAAATAATATAAAGTCTCTAAATATTTCCCCTAAATTATTTCACTAAAATAAAGTACAAAAGATATATTTGAATATTACACCTCAGTGCAAAATTAATTTTAGGTCATGGTCCCCTAGACACCGGTGCTCCACTTACATAATAAAAAAAGGTTCTCCATCTAAGAGTTAAATAAAGCTTTAAAAGAGCGATGATAGCACAATTTTACTGTTTTTTTTTTTTTTTTGACTGAATAAATCTAAATCTAGCAACAGCAGCTAAAATGCTCGAGAGTTCATTAAAAATATTTTAATGGACTCTCGGGTTTAGATTTTACCAGTGCACATAAATCTTTGGATAAATATGTCTCTTTTGCTCCCTTATCCTTTTTGTCCCATTCTGTCTCTTTTGTGCCCCCATGTTCCTTTTGTCCCATTAGTCTCACGTGTCTCCTTTTCCGTTTGCCCCCTTGTCCCAATTGCCCCTGCCCCATTTGCCTCCTTTGTTCCCGATCTCATTTGGTCCACTTGTCCCATGTCTCATTTGTCCCATTTTGTCCCCTGCCTCTTTTGTCCCCTTGTCTCATTTGTATCATTCATAAAAAAATGTTTATTTTAACAAAACAGTGATATATAATGAATTTGTTTACATTTGTTTTGTATAATTTTTTTACAAAGACTTAACATGCTTGTATCAAATAATTGTACATCATCATCCAGGTCAATGACCCTCATCTCGATCAGGTTTTGTCCAGTTTCCCTGATATATTGAGCAAATACTGAGATGGCCCCTTGTATTGCTTCTGAACGTAAATGTACGGCTTCACTATGCACACATTTTGTTGAATTCTCCTTTTGCTTGTAGTGGTAGGAGTAGAGATAAGGGCATTTTAACAAAGCAGAAAAACCAAATCTGCAGTTCATTTACCATTGCAAATAAGTTTTCTATAATTCAAGAACGAAAATGTCTGTTTTTCAAATGTTGCTAATCTCGCGCTTTTTTAAATTTTATTTTTATTTATTTATCTTTAATTTTTACTCATCTTTCAACTTTTTATAGTTAAAATGATGGGATGGGATTCTGGAACCCCCATAGGTCACACAGTTTTACTGTTTATTGACGGAATAAATCTAAATCATTATCCCTGTTGTCTATTTTGTCCATGTTGTCTATTTTGTCCCCCTTGACCCATTTCGTTCCTTCCCCCCTTTTTTCAATTTTGTTCATTTTGTCTCCATTATCCCATTTTGTCCTCACGTCCTCTTTGTCCTCCTCCTTTTGTCCTCGCGCCCTCTTCACCGCTTTATTCCATTTGTCCACCTTCGCCCTTTTGGTCCTTCCGGGCACTGTTATCATTATTTTAAAATGGTATCAAAACCCTCTACCAAAAATCTGCGCTACAGAACATAGAGAGTGATGACAATTCTTATCTCACGAAAATGTTAAATGTTTCTTTTAAATAACTAAAAATAAAAAAACACTATATGTAACTCGTCCTCTATTAGTCTTTAAGTACTCGGCCGAAAGATTAACTACTCCGCTCCATTGTTGCCCCCCCTCGCAGTTGATCTTCCGGTCTCGTCCTTAAAGACTAATTTAATGGACTTGTTACATAAATAACTATTTTGGGTACCAACAAGTGTGAACAAAACTTTGAACAAATATTATGAGACATACTATATAAATTTTTCTGCAGTCTATCTTAGAACATCGACCCAAGAATAATGACTTTTTCATTGGCTCGGGGCGCGGGTGGCGGGGCGTTGGGCGTCAGGCATTGCGTGCGGGGACCCGTGGCGGGGGTGGGTAGTGNCGGGGCATGGGGCCCGGGGGAGTTGGGCCCGTGGTGCGGGGCGCGTGTCGGCCAGAGACTCGCGCATAAAGCAACAGCCAGTCAGACGCAGGGCCATCGCAGCCCTGAAAGCGGAATGAGTATTTACTCCACCTTTTCGTGGTCTTCTGGGCTTTTCTTGCGATTCCGCGCAGCTTCCTCCCCGCCCCCGCCCCAACGAAATAAAATATTAAGTACAAAGGGCGGACGCGACTCTGGCGACGTGCCCGCGCGGGCTGGCGGATCTGACGTCACGCGCAGCCGGAAGCCGTCGACGCTGCCGAAAGAGGTCCGCGCCGCGCAAGAAATCCAGAGAGATCCCCAGGGAATAAATTACGCGGAGGGGGGACGATATGTCAGGGCTACCAAATCTACCCCGAACAAATTCACTATTCGCGGAGCCACTATTCGAATGGAATGGAAGTACGAAACAATCTGTCTGCGGCTAAATGACGCGGAAACATTTTGCTCCGCCGTTGCCCGCAGGCACACACGATCTCCGAATATCAGAGCAATGATGTTAGAGGAAGTATAAAACGTGACACACTCTCGTTTCGCATCATATAATCAGGAAGGCTCATGGGAACAACTGTTGCCACAGCAGCTTCTCTGACAAAAAGGTCCTAGGTTCAAAAGTCCCGACAATGGCGGATTTTCGATTTTACGTTTGTTAGCTAGGTTGAATTGAGCCGTTGACTGGAGAAATCTAGCGACCGGCTGGTAGCCGTGGAATTTTAAGGGCGAAAAATCGTTCGTACGCCTTCTTTCGGAAGGAAATTAATCCGGCTGTCCCATGATGCAGATTTACTGAATGTAAAATATTTTCAAGCCTAAAAGGAGCGTCTGTGCTAAATTCGAAATCGCGTGCCGCGCCTTTTGGCGTTTCAACAATGTACTCGGGGGTGAAATAAAACCACCAAAGACACGTGATTTTCTAGAATCCATCCAGAGAGCACTTGTCTAAGAATATCAACCCTTACCATTTTATTTCATAAATTACTGTCTTTTTTGCTGGGAATAGTTTTTTAAAAATAAATCTTACTTTCTCGTGAGTACAATTGTATCTTTCGTTATCAACGTAAAAGTTGTCTAAGACAAGGACTAAGATCCCGATGTGTGCAAATTGGTTGAAACTACATGCTATATGTATTCTCGTTCAAGAAATATTTTGAATAGGTAAAATTTGATAGTTCGGACATTAATGCTGCCCCTCTTAAATTGCAATCCACCGACCGCCGCTGGACGGGATGGGTCGAGACTGGATGGGACTGGATTGGACTGGACTGGACTGGACTGGACTGGATTAGACTGGATTAGACTGGACTGGACTGGACTGGACTGGACTGGACTGGACGGGACGGGATTGGACTGGACTGGATGGGACGGGACGGGACGGGACGGGACTGGACGGGACGGGACGGGACGGGACGGGACGAGGCGAGGCGCGGAGCGGCGGAGTGGTGGGTCAGTAGGCCAGGAAGGTCGAGACGGCGCTCGGTCGATATCGCGGCTGTGATGGAGGAGGCTGAGCCCACGAGGGCAACGCGAGGTGAAGATTGGGTGGGGCTGCGTCGGAACAGCCCATCTTTCCTGAGTGGAAGAGATCCGTTGGTGAAACCTTAAAGTATTTCAAGTCATTCAACGCCGTACACACAAACTAGTAGAAATTAAAATACTTATTCTAGCATTGTTGGTGGTTGGGCCTGCGAATTACCTAAGTCTAGAAATTGCCTTGCAATATTTTTTTTCGAGAGAAATTTTGACATTGTATGTCTCAGTGTAGTACCCAGGGGGAGTGGGGCTTCTTAATAAAAAAGAAAATAATGATATTAGTGGCCCCGCCAGTCCATTTCCGAGCACAGAAAGCTACTCAAAAAGTTATTAATTAAAATAATTGTTTAATTTACGTTTAATTATCCTC